CCTGTTGCATGTCCACAAGTGTGTATTTCTGTGTGTGTGTATAAAAAACAAAAAAAAGAGTGAAAAAACAATTTCCCAATAGGGGATTAATAAAGTACATATCCTATGCCCGTGGAGCTCATAATGCTCGGCTATCAGTGTGTAATGTTAATGTGTTGTACCAATTATGCTGAACCATGACTACAAATTAAATCTACAAAAGCATGTATTTTTCTTGTGTAGGTCCTAGCATCCTGTCAGCACCTTTACAGACTGTGCTGGACAACCTGGATGTTCTGGAAGAGCTGGTCATCTTGTTGGATCCAGAAAGCCACGGAGTAAAGAACACCAAACATCTGGCGTCTCATTGCTCCTTCTCCTCCTCTTGGATTACTTACACCTACTCTATGAGGGACAGTAAGAGCCCCTTAAAAGCCGTGTTGGAGGGGGTCACCAGCAAGCACCCTGAATGGGTCGTAGGCCACCTGGCCAAGCTGCTGAGAAAAATGGAACGCAACGATGCTATTGCTGTTCTCACCAAACTCGAACTGAACAAGATGGATGTGTAGCCAAAAGCCTATTGCTATTTGGTCTGGAATGGAAATAGCCTCCCCTCCTCTGATCTTTCCTGTAACATTCAACAATACTGTACTGTTCCAGGGACCCACAAAGAAACTCCAGGGAAGGGGGAAGGTTGAAGGAAATGTAGGGAGAATGGGTTGACACAAAAGACTATTCAGCTTGTGAAAGAGAGCTAGTCATATGTGGCTCTGAAATCGCTCCCTTATTACAGGTACTTAATAGCTTAGCTTATAAAGAGCAGTAAATGAATATTTTGGACACAAAGTTATCTGTAAAATGTGGCACATTGCATGGTGGCATTGTTAGGATAAAGAAGTGTACATGCTGTGGACTTTTTTTGTTCCAGTCTAGGAGTTTGGACATGAGGTTAACACAAAGGAAAGTCAAATGCCTGTGGTCCACACTGTAGGGAATTTGTGAGAGCACATCTAAAACAACTGATATTCACCAATACTCTACACGTTACTGTCTTTTTAAATATTAGATAGTGGCAATAATCTATTTTAAACTCAACACAGGAAGAAAGTGGGCGAAAAACAGCAGACCTAACTTAGCATTTCACACTTACGTATAATATATAGTGAACTGTATAGTCAATAGGGAGTGATTTCAGACATAGGCAATTATCAGATAGGAGGGGTCTTATGAAAGATACTCTCAAGCTGCATTACGGAAGCGTAGGAGGATCCTTGTCTGTTGATTTACAAGCCTTTTCGAGCCTTCAGGTGCCTGCATTTGTATACACATGATCATACTTTCGTCACTTTTTTTTTTAAATAATCTTCCATAAATCATGTTAACCACTCATTTTACATTAATGAACATAACAGAATCCAACTAATTATTGAACAAATGTTAATTTTGTCATCATGTAACATTCCAGTTAATGATTTTTGCTACCCCCCCCACCCCCCCCCACCTCACATTACCACTTTTTTTCCTAGATCTTCCATAATAAAACATGGAATTTGTTCAAACATCTTAACATCTTTATTAAGCAAATAACATTATAAATAAAAAAGTGCATAGAAAAATTAAACAGGTTTAGAAATATGTATACAAATATTTACAAACTCAAGGTTTATTTGTACATGGTAACAAAGACGTAAATTTAAAGATCACATATTTTCTCATTTTTATGTCCTTTACACTTACTTTAAAATAACCCTACTATATATATATATATATATATATTTATATATATATATGTGTGTATATATAACACAGTTGATGCATTCATTTCTATATTAAAAAAAGGAAAACAGATAAATTTTTCAATACATCCTTTTAAGGTTCAATATTATGATGTTGATGTGATTTCATATAGTCACTGCTTTGTAACGTCTGTTGTGTCAGTAGATGTGTGTGACGCAGGCCTACACAGAGCCAATATCCTTTGGCCTGTCCCAATGTTTCAATTAGTGTTGTCTTCTTTCCTGCGTGCAGTCGTAAGAATAAACATATAAGGCTCTATCTAAAAATCTGAGAATCGGAACACACTCCTAATCGTGCGCATAACTAATTAAACTTGACCTTTTGTTATCATTTTGCAGGTGAAACTACCATGGCTATTCCTAATTTTTCCATCTGCCTTGTTGGGATTATTTGCCTTGCGTGAATACATACATCAAACGAAAAAGGTTTCATTGCTTTAAAAGATGCTTACAACTGAGTCCATGACAGAAGACATCACTCTGGAATTGTATATAATAGCTGGGATATGGGTGGTTTGACCTGAATTATAACGTGATGTCTTCTTAATAGAATAACTCAGCAAGGCACAAGTGTCTGAGTTATAACAGAAGATCATCATAACATCAAGGCAGGGTCTCCTCTCCCTTCTGCTCCACCCTGAATCAACAATGGACCATGGAGGAGACATCCTGAGTGAGTGGACTTTACCACTATTATGCTCACATGTGCCATGTATAAGACTATTAAACTTTGAGTCCAGTCTCTGATATTATCTGTTTAAACGCATCCTGCATGTGTTGTTTTTTGCTTGTTTTTGGGCCTGTGACATTGTTAAAGTAATAAATGATGCCAGCCTATCACTCACCCATACTCTCTCCCTGTCATGCCCATCAAGATGGTGTATTTCTGTGTTGATGTATAAAAAAACCAAAAAAAGAGTGAAAAAACAATTTCCCCCCAAGTAGGGGAAAATTAATAAAGTACATAATCCTATGCCCTGGAGCTCATAACTGCTCGGCCTATCCAGTGAGTAATTTAATGTAGTGTCCAATATGCTGAAAACATGACACAAATTAAATCTACAAAAGCCATTGTATTTTTCTTGTGTGTTCCGAGCATCCATGTCCCATCACCTTTACAAGACTGTGCCTGGACCAACCTGGATTTCCCTGGAAGAGCTGGTCAATAGCCGTTGTTCGGATCCAGAAGCACGAGTAAAGAACACCAAACATCGGCCGTCTCATTTGCTCCTTCCTCCTCCCTCTTGGATTACTACTGACACCTACTCTATGAGGGGAACAGTAAGACCCCTTTAAAAGCCGTGTTGGAGGGTAACCAGCAAGCACCCTGATAATGGGGATCGTAGCCCACCTGGCCAAGCTGCTGAGAAAAATAGAACGCAACGATTGCCTATTGCTGTTCCTCAACAAACTCGAACTGAACAATGATGGATGTGTAGCCAAAGCCTATGATGCTATTTGGTCTGAATCGAAATAGCCTCCCCTCCTCTGATCTTTCCTGAACATTCAACAATACACTGTACTGTCCAAGGGACCACCAAAGAAACTTCCAGGAAGGGGGAAGGTTAAGGAAATGTTAAGGGAAATGGGTTGCACAAAAGACTATTCAAGCCTTGTGAAAGAGAGCTAATCATAAAATGTGCTCTGAATTCGCTCCTTTATTACAGGACTATAATAGCTGTAGCTTAAAAGAGCCAGTAAATGAATATTTTGGAACCACAAAGTATCGTAAAAATGTGGCACCATATGCATGGTGGCATTGTTTAGGATAAAGAAGTGTACAATGCTGTGGACTTTTTTTGTTCCAGTTCTAAGGGAGTTTGGACATTGAGGTTAACACAAAGGAGTCAAATGACCGTGGTCCCACACTGTAGGAGAATTTGGAGAGCACATTCTAAACAACTGATATTCACCAATACTCTAACACGCTACTAGTCTTTTTAAATATTCAGATAAATGCAATAATCTTTTTAAACTCAACACAGGAAAAAGTGGCGCAAAAACAAGCAGACGCTAACTTAGCATTTCACACTTAAGTAATAATAATATATATGAACTGTATAGCCAAATAGGGAGTGCAATTTCAGACATAGTCCAATTATCAGATAGGAGGGGTCTTATGAAAGGATACTCTCCAAGCCTGCATTACGGAAGCGTAGGAGGTCCCTTTCTGTTGATTACAAGCCTTTTTTGAGCCTTCAGGTGCCTGTCATTTGTATACACTGATCATACTTCGTCACTTTTTTTTTTTAAAATAATCTTCCATAAATCAATGTGTAACCACTCCAATTTACATTAATGAGACATAACAGACCAACTAAATTATGAACAAATGTTAATTTTGTCATCCCATGTAGACATCCAGTTAATGATTTTTGCTACCCCCCCCACCCCCCCCCACCTCACATTACCACTTTTTTTCCTATTCGGATCTTCCATAAATAAAACATGGAATTTGTTCAAAACATCTTAACATCTTTATTAAGCAAATAACATTATAAAAAAAAGTGCATAGAAAAATTAAACAGTTTAAAGAATATGATAAAATATTTACAAACCCTCCAAGGTTTATTTGTACATGGTATAAAAGAACGTAAATTTAAAGATCACATATTTCATCCATTTTTATGTTCCTTTACACTTACTTTAAAATAACCCCTACTATATATATATTATAGTATAAGTATATTTAGTATAGTATATATGCTGTGTATATAAACAT